ACCTCCCACCTCATCAGCATATTACTTTTAAAAATGATATCACAATAATTTTAATTTTTAATAAAAAATATAGTTAATCATATTATTTAAAAAAAAAATTGGTCACTTATTCACGTATTTTCAAGAATATCGAAATATGAAAAAAGTTATTAGTTTTATTTGGAATCTATTAAGACAGCTGATTACTTTCAAGAAACTTTACATGGTAAAGATTGGGAGTTCTAGTTAAAAGTTAGTGAGCATTATCTTTGTAACCCATTTGCACCCATAAATGAATGAATGAATAAATGAATATAGTTTTTGTTGGACTATTCTTTATCTATATAATAAAACAAGACCTTCGTACATATATATATATGTATAAAGCCTATAGCCGGCCAAACAGCTGGACCGATTGGGCTGACATTTTTTGTGGACATTCATGGTTGCCGGGGGGTGGGAGTGTTCTAGAAAATCGAAATATTTTATTTAAAACTTTTTTCTCAACTTTTTTCTATTTTTTTTTTGTTCCACGGGCAACACCGGGCCCTTCCGCTAGTATATTCTAAATATTAAAAGTATAAACAGTCTTTTACTCTTGTATCCACGGATTTTGGTTTAGAAATTAAAGTAGGACTAAACATCGATACAGACAGGATGTACTTTGTTGTATAGTTAGTTTTACGTGATCAAATCGTAAAACTTTGAAATTCAACACTTTGATTTCTGAAAGATCAAATCGTAAAAGTTTAAACCATGAATTTGCAAAGATATAGAGAATAGAAAATAAGAGTTTGAGAAATGTTTTTTGTTGTTTCAGCAATGTATTGTGCCGATACATTAAACTAAGAAATAATGAGGATTACAATCTTTAATTGCTGTCAAATTATTAAACTATAATCTTATATTTTTCAACAAATTATGTTTGGTATCATTTCAGTTTAATACTAACTTTACAACAAGAGGCCAAAAATAAAACAAAAACTTAAGAACGAGTCTAATTCTGCGAGTCTAAGCTCAAATGTTTATAGTTAAGCCCGAATTGGTGAGTTTTATCTTAGAGTTATACTAATTATTATCGACTGCCGCGTTGATTAAAGACGATCAATAAATCTAGCAAACCTGAGTTCATAAGAAGAAACACCTTCAGTAAATCCGAAACTGACTGAGTTCTCGCGATTTCTCTAAACAGAAAAAATTTAGCAAAACGGATGTACAAACTCCACACGTACAACACGTGGATGAATCCTCTCAGTTCACGCGGGAACTCCAGTATTGGATTGTTATAATGATAACCCTATCATGTTTACTAGTTGAAATAGAATAAGGGATTTGTCTACTTATGCAAACCATCAAAACTACTGAATTGTGAACAAAATAATTAAAAAATTAAAACAAAATCTTTTCCTGTCAATATAATTACACAATTTGAAGGAATACATGTTTTTAACGATTAAAACCAATAATTGATTAAGGGGAAAAAGGGATATAGGATTCACATCTGTACCCTCAAATAGAGGATTAACATCTGTACTCTTAAATAGAGGATTAACATCTGTACCCTTAAATAGAGGATTCACATCTGTACCCTCTAATAGAGGATTCACATCTGTACCCTCTAATAGAGGATTAACATCTGTACCCTTAAATAGAGGATTCACTTTTGTACCCTCAAATAGAGGATTCACTTCTGTACCCTCAAATAGAGGATTCACATCTGTACCCTCAAATAGAGGATTCACTTCTGTACCCTCAAATAGAGCTCGTAAAAATAAAGATAACATATAGCACACTCAACTAAAGTACATTTGAATCTGAGCTAAACCGACCTTTCTAGTCCTAGTTTGTACTGCCCTGCCCGGTACACCAATTACATTGGCAGACATACGGCAGGGGTCAATATAGTTGGTCTAGCTCTGTTTGCAGGCCATCTGGTGCAACTATAGGATGACGCAGTCTGACTTTTGGATGGTTAAAACTTGCTAATTTAATTCGGTATTTCTAAATACCAATCTTTCTTTTATCTACAGAAGTTTCTGTAAGATGAGAAAATTATAAAAACTTTCTTTATTTAAGTTTAAATACCATTTTATTAATATTAAATGGATTGTGATCAAAACTGTCAATTTTATTTTAAGAAACTCCAATATATTCTTCTTCAAAGATATAAATTAATATATTAGGAATAAAATGTAAATACTAAATCTTCTTCTCAAAAACATAAACGAAAAGGCAGGTATGAAAATATACACAGTAATCAAAGCAAAAATACGATAAATTCAGACAAATCATATAACGATATGATTCTGCCTGACACTCAAATATAGAAAAATCAACAAATACGAGAAATGGACATTAAGAATATTGTGGCAAATGCAAAGCATAATTGGCTCGATGTCAAAATCGTACATCAAAACATCAAAAACACAAATTGATTAAAATTAAAATTTGCATAATGGGAGAGGGCCGGGGGAAGGAGATGTATAAGAGATCAAGAGAGATCAAGAGAGATCAAGTGAGATCAAGTGAGATCAAGTGAGATCAAGTGAGATCAAGTGAGATCAAGTGAGATCAAGTGAGATCAAATAAAAGGTCTATTTAGACTAGAATAGACTGGACACCATATATTCTATAATGAAATTGAGAAAAAAAATAGGAATATATTTCAGAAAGTAAACTTATTAAAACGAGAATTTGGTACTAGATCTAGAGCACGATTAAATTGCTAAACGTTATTTAATTTTTTAACATATTTCAGATTCTCAAAAGTAAAGAACTGGATAGTGATAAGCTATCAAATACAAAATTAGAAATAGTAGCACAGCTTGACGCTATTTGTACTGTAAAAGCCTTTTTTGATTAGGCATCCGCTGAGATTTGTACTGTAACTGTAAATACTAATTATTTTTGTATTTATGGCAATATTGTTTAGAGATTTAAAACAAAAAGACATTCTTTGTACTGTCTTTTGATTTTAAATTAAAAAAAAATATTTCTAATGTAAGGGATAAAATGGACTTTTATATTGTTATTTTCAGGGCCATATTTTTTGGCGTAAATAACAAAATCCTTTACTACGATTCTAAACTCTCTAACGAAGACGACTTATACTTAATTTAATTTATTTCATTAAATCTAACCTGGAGAAACTCTCTCTCTATTTCATCTCCCTTTTCCTCTGTGGGCAGAGGATGTGCTCCTTCTTCTCTTATACCTAGGCACGAAGGTATATTTGTTTCACCTCACAATATTCTTCCAAACAAAATAGTGCATTAATATAAAGACGACATTTCAGCAATAGTTTGAAAATTAACTTATAAAGTAAATTGGGTTTGTGTATATAGCACATTTGCTGTGTTTCATGTTTATTGGACTATGTACAATCATTGCTTGCGTACTAAAAGTCGTCTTCCTATTCCACAGTTTTATGTGTCTCACTGTATACAATTATAAATAAACATCTGAAAGAGATGCCAAAATGTTGCATTAAATAAATCTAACGAAAAATTTCAAAATAGTAAAGAAATAATTATAATTCTTTTATTTCTCATTTGTCATGATTCCCTTTTAGAATTTTGGTTATTTTGCAAATTCTAAAGAATATTTTATTTTTGATTTAAAATTACCAATACAAAATTCGCAAAAAACATTTTTTTAATCTTTAACTCAAATTTTATAATCCATATATCTTTGCAACCTAAGGGTGTTAAACTTTGATTATTCAAATTTAGACTATATATAATCTAACAAAATTCATGGTTTGAAATATCTATGTTCTACGACATTGGTTGGCAAAAATATGCGGACTAGATAATTTGTGCTTGTGGCAAAGACTCATTTCCTTTTCAATAAAAAATATAAATGACCTGGTAGAGGATAAATCTCCTCAGGAGATGAGTCTCCGATGCAATCACTTAAATCCTCAAACGAAGCAAAGGGTGCGGGGCCCCCAGCCTCCTGGCGAGATCTATAGGAACCTGAACAGATAATAGAATGAAGGGAAGGTCCAGGGCCCCAGCCTCCTGGCGGGATCTATAGGAACCTAAACACATAATAGAATGAAGGGAAGGTCCAGGGCCCCCGGCCTCCTGGCGGGATCTATAGGAACCTGAACCTATTAAATGATAAAGGGAAGGTCCAGGGACCCTGAATTCTTGATATATAACAAAATTTACAAAGGTTAAGTTCAAAGGATGGATACAGAAGACATATCTTTTGAATTCCTTTGTACACGACTGTTTAGGAATTCTGGCTTTTCATCTTTTTCTAGAAATTTGACAGAATACATAAATACAAAACACTAAGGAATTGAGCCGGACCAGAATAGAACACAATCGTTTGTATAGACGCAACAAGAAAATAGTAAAATTTATGCATTTGCTTTTGTTATCACAAAACATGAAAATAATCATGCCAATAGACCACACACTATATACAGGTAAGCGATTTCTGGAGGGCGTGACATTTAAAAAAAAATTAGCTTTTGTTAAACAATTAAAAGTTTTCTAGAATTTGTTGATTTTGTAAGTTTTCATTGAATCAGTGCAAAACCATTGACTACGTTATTAGCCTCGATTTTCAGGAAAAAAACTGAAAAATACTTTTCTTTTCAATTCTTGAACAATACACTTTTTCTCATTGCAACGAAAAGGGTGCAAATGATAGATATTTCTGATAAACACAAAGTATAGCTTTTTAAAGACATTTTAGGTTTCAAGTTAAGCTCACTACCCCAAGGTTTATCGTTGAATCCCTGCAGTGTTATGATTGGTTCTAATTTTCTGAGAGTAAAAGATATTCCTTTGTAAAGAGCGGTTTTTAGTTTTTAGATTTGTGGGATTCAATGAAAATGATTGCATACAAAAAAAACCAGCCCTCAAATGATGAGCATTTAAACTTAATTTTGAATCGTGAATGAACTAAGTTCTTACAATCAAATAATCTTTGTTTTATCAAACTTTTCGTCATTAAGTTGCAAAAACTCAATTATTTCCTCTGGAAGTATTAAATTGTAACTGTTTTATTTAAAAATAAAATATACTAAAACCAATATATATGGAAAAATCTTAGCCAAGCTTGGTTCCCAAGCTAGTTTTATAATTACAAATATATATATATATTCACCACTACTAGGCTTTGAGGGAACTTAGTGCCTGTCCTCTTCCTACATATTACATTACATATTACATAACAAAAATGCCACTTATTACTTACTTTACATTTTAACTTTTGAACCCTTTATATCTTTGCAATATATCATATATTTTAAACTATAATAAGGTTGGAGAAACAAGTTTTAAGCTTTATAACTTCCGGTTCCGGGTTCGAAAGTTCAAAATTGCGGAAGGAACATTTTTTTCTTTCACAGTTTTTTACTTTTTTCTGGCTAAATAAAAAAATATTTCCCCTGAGGTCATGTGAAGTGAAAAAAATTAGTTTTGACGGCTTTTGGATTCAATTATGACAAGAAAACAGAAAAAAGTCAACAAAGGTTTATTTACATTTTCAAGAATTTTGAAGTTTATGGTTTATAAAGATGAAAAGTAAAGAAAACTAATTAAAAATAATATTAAACCTGAGGTCATGTGAAGTGAAAAAAATTAGTTTTGACGGCTTTTGGATTCAGTTATGACAAGAAAACAGAAAAAAGTCAACAAAGGTTTATTTACATTTTCAAGAATTTGAAGTTTATGGTTTATAAAGATGAAAAGTAAAGAAAACTAATTAAAAATAATATTAAACTATGCGGCAATGTCAGATTTTAATAAACGATCAAAGTCCCGGGATTTAATTAATACAAGTTTTATAAATTAGAACCATGCTAAATAGGAATTCAGTTTTTGGTAGATTTAAAATCATATTTACAATTGAATTATTTACAATTGAAATATTTACAACTGAAATATTTACAATTGAAATATTTACAATTGAAATATTTACAATTGAAATATTTACAATTGAAATATTTAGAATTGATATATTTACAATTGAAATATTTACAATTGAAATATTTACAATTGAAATATTTACAATTGAATATTTACAATTGAAATATTTACAAATGAAATATTTACAATTGAAATATTTACATTTGAAATATTTACAATTAAAATATTTACAATTGAAATATGTACAATTGAAATATTTACAATTAAAATATTTACAATTGGAATATTTACAATTAAAGTCTTTACAATTGAAATATTTACATTTTAAATATTTACAATTTACGTTGAAGATTATTTAGCTTATTTACAGGGTTCATAAAAATCTGATATTAGGTGGTATTAAAGGGTACCGTAGTGAATCGTACATTAAACAATCATATTTAGCAGAAGGTCGTGAAGCGTCCTAAGCTTGTTAATTGATATGTAAGAATATATAAGGTTTACTGCAAACTATAGACAGAAGATTAATATAATGTACATTTCAACCAAACCAAATTTATTCGATTTTAGAATAAAAACATTTTTTTTATTCTCAATAGCTCTTCATTAAAATTAGTTATGATTGAAAAAAGTTAGAACTCCATTTAAGTTTAATTTATTATAGCTTAACGTATATTGCTTACTTCTATAATCCATGGTTGATATGTTAAGTATTCCATTCTAATGTTAGCTCCTGTATCTGGAGCATTGGAGACTTCACTTGATAGGTTTCCTCAGTAAAACCAACACCTAGACATATATAACATTAGGTCTAATATATTAATATATAATTTAGATATATTTGTATTGTTAAAGTAACAATACTGCTTATATATTGAAAAACTTATACCCATATTTGTTTTTAGATATATATAAAAAAAGAGAATCTTAAAATTAGTACAAAAAATTTCAGCCAAATCGGTCCAGCCGTTTGGCCGGCTTTCGGTGACATATATACGAATGTCTTTTTTATTTTTAGAAGATATTATAATTAAACAAGATATTCATATATTACCTCTGGCATTCCCTCTGGCCGGCCCAACGGTTTGACCGAATGGGCTGAACTTTTTTTGGACGCTCATGGGTAGCCCAGGGGTAACACGAGCAACGCCGGTCCCTTCAGCATGTTTAATATATTAATTTTTTAACCCATCAAAATTTCAATGAAAACAAATTTTATGATAACGAACTGATTCTTTGTCACAAACTCTGATTCTCTAATTCCAATATCTTAGCTGCCCTTAGATATTTCAAAATATTTTGGATCAAATAATCTGAGGTTTACACCATCAGTCTACAAAGATATTGGGATAACAAATTTTAGTTTGGTAATGATTTTACTATAAAATAAACACAATTTGAAACAATATTATTTTAAAAACTATTTCATTGCCGTACGAACAAGAGACAGCTTGACCTCAAAAAATGTAATTATATGTAAATGTTCAACATTTCAATCAATTACTATGGATATTGAATATCTATAGAAAATGATCATGATTAAGACTGGAAAATATATCTTACTAGCTGAAGAACCCTGCGTTGCCCGTGGAATACTGCTTTTTCAGTGGGAAAAAATGTCGATTTTTTTTAGTCAATATTACACCAATGAGTTGCCACAAAATATTTCAGCCCAATCTGTTCAGCCGTTTGGCCGGCTATGCGCAACATATATATATACGAATGTCTGCTTGTTTTATTTATTATTACATGTATATCTATCTCCATATTTCCTGGGCCCGTGCGGAAACAGGGTTTGTTGAATAAATTACTTTATCTTCCTCTTTGTGCATAATGCATATTCGGTAAAGCTGCACCCACCCCCTGCATCCCCCTTCCTAACGAATAAGTATTGTTAACAACAAGAAAGGATACATGTTCTAAAGAAAGAGAAGGATTATTTTTGACACATTTCAGATATTCAGATATTACTGATGCTATTATATGGGGGAAAAGCTTGCCAACATTTTTCTCATAAATGGACTGTTGAGTGTTAACTTATAATCCTGTGACCCCCAATCAAGAATTTCCAAGTACGATGATCAAAGTTACTCTAAAATAACTTAAATGTTTAACGCAACAATGAGACTTTGATAAAAATTGTAAACTTATATAAAAAAGTTAAATTCTGACGAATTTCTTCGTTGTCTCTGATGCATAAATCTAAGGTTACTTCTCCACAGTAACCACAATTGGAAAAAGTATATTTTCAGATACAAACAATAAGAATATCCTTTGCTCAAAAGAAGGTTTAAAGTGTCTGGTTGTGAATCGGAAATGCCCCTGTTATAAAAGAAGACTATTACAACAGGTTCTTAATATTTCCTAGAAAATGATTGTACAACATTTTATGATAAAACCATTTAATAGGAAATTCCGATCAAATAATGTTGGCAGTGATCCAAAAGATTGCAAACTCTTATAAAAAATTGGTGAACATTTTTTCCAATTCCAAAAAAAATAGCTTTGTACTTCTAAATGAACATCTCTAGTGTTACAAAAACAAGAGCTTTGTAGTTCTAAATGAACATCTCTAGTCTTACAAAAACAAGAGCTTTGTAGTTCTAAATGAACATCTCTAGTGTTACAAAAACAAGAGCTTTGTACTTCTAAATGAACATCTCTAAGCTACAATAACAAGAGCTTTGTAGTTCTAAATGTACATCTCTAATGCCACTAAAACAAAAGCTTTGTAGTTCTAAATGAACATCTCTAATTTGTTACAAAAAAGTGAGTTTGTGAAATCTAAAGCCAAGACATTGCGACACTTTAATAAAGACTCAGTCTAAAAAATTGTTGCAACTTTTATATCAGTCTGGATCTTTATGTATTTTTATCTCATTGGTATTTATATTAAAGTTATGCTGCTAGATTTATTACTATTTTCAGAGCTGTTGTCTGGATCTTTATGTATTTTATCTCATTGGTATTTATATTAAAGGTATGCTGTTAGATTTATTACTATTTTCAGAGCTGCAGTCTGGATCTTTATGTTTTTTATCTCATTGGTATTTATATTAAAGAATAGCTGTTAGATTTATTACTATTTTCATAGCTGTAGTTTGGATCTTTATGTATTTTATTTCATAGGTATTCATATATTTTATCTCCTTGGTATTTATATTAAAAGTATGCTGCTAGATAGATCTTTATGTATTTTATCTCCTTGGTATTTGTATTTATGCTGGTATAGATTTATTACCATTTTCATCATTCTAACAGACTACCACTTAGTGAAAACTAAAACGCTTTCTAAGGAACTGTAAATGTAATTTCCTTGATTTGAGAGTGACATGTTCGATTCACAGCTAAATCTTATGAAATATGAGTTGTCCAAGTTCCTATTTTTTGGAATTTGATTATTGTCTATTGTGACTTTTGCGCTTAAAGAAACAATGGGTTTCGATCTAGAAGAACGACGATATCTTTACAAACATACTTATTGATCAGATAAACGGTCGAATAAAAATATTAATCCATTTAAAATTAGATAGCACTTATTATAACCCACGGTTCAACATCCATCTAGAATTCTTTGTAAGCATGTGCAAAAAGGTATTAATAAAAGGCTCTTAATTTTATACAGTTTAAGTTAGATCAAGAAATTTTAAACACTTCATTTTATTAACTTCAACTCACGAATATCTGTAGCTTCTTGTTTTGTTTTTAACCCTTGAAGGAATGTATGTGTTATTAAGTCTATAAGAATATTTATCAGATTTTAAGATAAATGATGCTTTATGCATATATGAGATGTATACATTTATAAATTAGGGAATTCTAATATTCTACTATATATTCTCTGATGTCATACAAAGTCATTTATTTACACTTTGAAAAATTTCAAAATTATTTGTTATATTTTAATAATTACTCACTTGTACCATCTCATAGTTTATACCTCCAGGTTTACCACTAAAGATAATACTTCAGAAACGATTTTTCAGAATTTTATTCAAGTAAAACGTTCCCTGCCGCTGTAAACGTGCTACTTTCTTTGCCAAAAATTTTACATGCTGCAATCAAAAGACTAAAATTAATTCTTCAGAATTTTATATTCAAAGAGATTCAGACTGCCATTAAAGTCTCCTTAACATTAGCATTATTATTAATCTTTGTGTAACCCTGGTTTTAAAAAAAATATAAAACTTTTTAATTCTACGAAAAATACCCAATTATGGGATGTTTTTTTAAAGCTAACGATTCTTTGAAACAAAAATAAACTTGCTTTTCATACTCTCAAGAAGTATAAAGAATAATATTAACCCCCCCATTGTTTTATTACAAACATTAATTGTTTCCGTCAAACAATACTATTTATTTTTCAAGATTTCTAAAGAAAATTTTTGTAATCTTGACAGTTTGATAATTGGCAAGACTAATTACTGTATTGTACTGGAGTTATTATTCATCAATATAAGAAACATTGTATTGTTTACATTGTTTACATATTTGTTTTACAAATAAGCATAAAAACACCTTAACACACAAAAAAAAATCAAAAAATATACAAATACAAGATTTTTAGGGCGCTTTGTGCCCATTTCTATTTAAACTTTTAAATGTGTCTCTATCTGTGGCTGTGGCCTCTTCTCTCTTTTTTTCAAAATTTAGCAAAAATCGAAAACTATTGGGACACAAATTTTTGTAATTTTGAGCATCCATAAACCTTCCTTGGGCCATGTAAGGTCCCACACAAAATGTGGGTCCGACTTTATTGAATACAAACGGACAGACCAACAGAAATACAAACAAGCATATATAGGTATACATAACATAAACATCAAAAAGATATTGTAGCATTTTTTTAATCTGACTTTTTACCTACATTTTTTGATCATTGCAACTTATAGAAGTCAAGAAAAATGGCTTCCATTAGACAAAAAGATACTGAAAATTTAAAATTAAATGTAAATCAGCTCAGTGACCTATTACTCACAATTGAACGAAAAAATTTCTAAGTGACAATAAATTTATAAGGAAAAATTTCTGCAAAGCCAAACTTAGCCAAAGTTGAAAAAAACTATTTTTTTGAGTTTGCCTTCAGAAAAAGTGTCATTTCATGGTTTTTTTTTAGGAGTTTTTATTATAAGAGTGTATATTTTAGGAGTTTATCTTTCAAGAGTCTGTTTTTCGGGAGTTTGTCTTTTAGAGGTTTGTCTTTCATGAGCTTGTCTTTCAGAGGTTTGTCTTTCATGAGTTTGTCTTTCAGAGGTTTGTCTTTCATGAGTTTGTCTTCAGGAGTTTTTACTTTTCAAGAATTTGCCTTTCAGGAGTTTGTCTTTCATAAAACTGTAACGGATTTTAAAGTCTGTTTAATCCTAAAAATATGGCCATAAAGAAAATGTTTAATAAGAAAATGATGAATTTGAAATTCTAAAATTCTGTTGCAGGAAATTAAGGAAACCTGGAGGAAATTGCAAGGAAACTGAGGCATAATGAAAACCAACATATTATAATATATTAAGAAGAAAAGTAAAAGTAAATGAATTTACACAACCAGAGCTGGAAACTTTTGAATGGTGGATATCGGGATTAAGGCTTAATCCACTCTTTTTCTTAATCTCCAGATTAACATAATCTTGCAAGATTATCTTAAAAGTGTATGAAAAACGATAAAATCCAAGGAGAGAGAAAAAGAGTGGATTAGGACAAAAATGAAAAGTTTCCACAGTGGATATTTGGATCAAGAAGTCAGGATTAAAGTTTATCCATTCTAAAGTTTTCAGCTCAGGGAGTTTTGTTGTATTTACAAATATAACTCTTAGATATTGTATACTGTTAAAAATGCTTTGTAATTATTAAACTTTTTATTTCTTTTTTTTCAGTGAAGACATTTTTCAATCATTAATCGTAATTGAAAACATCTTGATTTATTAAAAATATTTAGTTTTTTGTAAAACTACCGATATTTTTGCCGTAAATTGTTTTTAATTTTTTTTTCGTTTAAAATTAAAGAGTTTTTTTTTACAAAAAATGTCCATTGGGAAGAATTGAGACAATACTTGTTTTATGAAAATTGAATAAGTATATAATTAATGTTTATCCTGAAAAATAAAAGCCTACCCCCCCCTGAGCCCTCCCCACTCCCTCTTGGGTGTCTTTACTTAAACTCTTTCCTTTTAAGTTTGTTGTTTTCTACTGGAAAACTTCCTTAATAGTTGTGTAAAGTTCAAACAATGATTGATTTCCTCCCAACACCTCCCCCCTCATATCCCTTTAAATATCTTTGCCATTTTCCCAGAGTAACTCTGATCATACTATATTTTAAACTTAGACTATTAGATTTAACAGATTCAAAGACATTTTCAAAGATAAGGGCATGAAAAAAAAGAGTTTGTGGCAAGAAATCATGGTTCTTTAGTTGCCAGCAAGTAGAGATTGAACTACATGAACTAAGTGGAACCACTTCTCTTGTGCACAGATGTACAAGGGAATTGGTTCAACTTTTCCTATTTATTTTCAAAAATAGTATTTTTTTCATAAGATAACTAAAAATGAATAAATATTTTTCCCCTCTATATAGCTGGACTGTTAAAAACCAAAAAAGAGTATGCTTTCTTGCATAGATTATTATACTCAATAGAGAATCCAATAATTAGATCAATGTCCGGTCACATAGAAGAAATTTCCATAATAATAAAGCTGAAATAGTTTGTAAGCTGAGAAAAGAAATACAGCTCTCTCAGCTGAAAAATTACATCTATCTCTCTAACCTTTCTCCCAATATTCGGAAATTGCATTTCATTCAATCATATGGTTCGGAATACACACCTCGAATATACAGTACTTTCTACAGTACATTTTACATGCTATTGTTACCTGAGCTCGGTTTATTTCTAAACTGTTGTGCTGACCATTGTCAGCTAGGCAGCAGCTAACGAACAGCTGATCACAGTAAACCCATCGCAGATTTTCAGTGACAATTTCTTGCGTATTTTTAAGAAATAAAATCCACTAAATATCCTGCCGCGTATCTAGTGTAGGCTTGCTGAACATTTACTCACTACAGTGGTCATACATGGGGCGGTGGTTCCTGAGTCGAGGTCACATGAGACCCCTCCAGCCTCCAGTACCAGCCTCCACCCGTAGATATTGATCCAAACCAGGGAGGCAGGACCATTCAGGCAACCCAGGCCTGATATCCAGGCACTAGGCATATTCTTATCCTCACTTGTTGAACTTTCAACTAATTAAAATTGTATTATTATGATTATTAATTACTTTTCTTTTGTTTTTTAACTTTTACCTTTTAACAACAATGTTTATATTTTTGACAAAAAGGTCAATTTTTATAAGAATAAAACTTCCTTAATAGTTGTGTAAAGTTCAAACAATGATTGATTTCCTCCTAACACCATCCCCCCTCAATCCCTTTAAATATCTTTGCCATTTTCCCCGAGTAACTCTGATCATATTATATTTTAAACTTAGACTTTTAGATCTAACAGATTCAAATACATTTTCAAAGATAAGGGCATGAAAAAAAGAGTTTGTGGCAAGAGCATGGTTCTTTAGTTGCCAGCAAGTAGGGATTGAACTGCATGAACTACATGAACCAGTTCTCTTGTGCACCGATGTACAATTTTTCCTGTCTATTTTTAGAAATAGTAATAATTTTTTACAAAAAACGTTATATAAAAATAAAGTTTCCATATTTTATCTGTTAAATTAGAGAATATTGATGATTAATTTTCAAGCATTTTAAACAAGCAGTTTCCCGCATTTCTAGTTAAATCTATATTGTAAGAACAAATGATATTAGTATTTTGATTTCTCAATGCTGTAATGATTTTTAAATTATAAAAGAACAGTTTGTTTTTATTTTCTATTTTGTTTCTATTTTACCTTATCAAAAATCTTTTTTTGTTTCATAAGTGCGTAAATACTTGAAAATTGACATTGATATGAATTCCGGTAATTGTCTCAAAACCAGGATATGTTCCGAAAACGCGAAATGAGCTGAAATCCGGTAATTGTTCCAAAATGAAATCAAGAATCATCAAAAATTGATTCTCACTCCTTATTCATAATTTAAAATTGACATTTCTTCTTTCAATATATAGTTTTAGCCATTTTTTATAAATATGTGGTGTAGTTTTGTTCAACTCGGCTTGGATTTAAAGATATATAATCTTGAAAAAGATAACTTTGCAGATTTGGCCCATTTCTAGCACTCAGTTTTAGAAATGGCCCAAGTGTTAGTTTTGGAACTAATATCCCCTGAACTAAAAAAGAGTATGCTTTTCTTGCATAGATTATTACTCAATTGAGAACCCAATAATTAGATCAATGATGTCCGGTCACATAGAAGAAATTTCCATAATAATAAAGCTGAAATAATTTGTAAGCTGAGAAAAGAAATACAGCTCTCTCAGCTGAAAAATTACATTTATCTCTCTAACCTTTCTCCCAATATTCGGAAATTGCATTCGGAATACACACCTCGAATATACAGTACTTTCTACAGTACATTTTACATGCTATTGTTACCTGAGCTCGGTTTATTTCTAAACTGTTGTGCTGACCATTGTCGGCTAGGCAGCAGCTAACGAACAGCTGATCACAGTAAACCCCTCGCGGATTTTCAGTAACAATTTCTTGCGTATTTTTAAGAAATGAAATCGACTAAGTGTCCTGCCGTGTATCTAGTGTGTAGGCTTGCTGAACATTTACTCACTACAGTGGTCATACATGGGGCGGTGGTTCCTGAGTCGAGGTCACATGAGACCCTTCCAGCCTCCAGTACCAGCCTCCACCCGTAGATATTGATCCAAACCAGGGAGGCAGGACCATTCAGGCAACCCAGGCCTGATATCCAGGCACTAGGCATATTCTTATCCTCACTTGTTGAACTTTGAACTAATTAAAATTTTATTATTATGAATATTAATTAGTTTTCTTTTGTTTTTTAACTTTTACCTATTAACAACAATGTTTGTATTTTTGACAAAAAGGTCAATTTTTATAAGAATAACAATAAAAGCCCCCCTACCTCTTTTTGACCCCTTTCGCAAAACCAAATGTAGTCTCTGGCCCACTAGTGTAACACCTCCCCCCCCACCCGCCACTCCATCTATTCTCAATATGAAAAATGTATGACATGTTTTACATTTTTGGAAAGCTCGCATCAAGGCGACAACGAATATATTTACATAGGCAGGGTTAACCGCACAAAATGAGACTTTACAAACAACTTTAAATCGTTGTATCATAATGACGTACATATTGCTTTATTTACGGGTTTTATCTTAAATTTAGTGACAATATGAAATGATTTTGCAAAAAAAAAGAGATAAGTTTGCTTTTTCAGTAATCCTAAAATCTAAAAGAATAATGGTTAAATGAAATTGAAGTTGAGATTATCGGGACAAACTCCTGAATACGCCCCTGATACAGAGTGTCCAAGGAAACTCTTGAATACTTGCGCCCCTGATACAGAGTGTCTAAGGAAACTCCTGAATTCACCCCTGATATAGAGTGTCTAAGGAAACTCCTGAATACACCCTTGATACAGAGTGTCTAAGGAAACTCCTGAATACACCCCTGATACTGAGTGTCTAAGGAAACTCCTGAATACACACCTGATTCAGAGTGTCTAAGAATACTTGCGCCCCTGATACAGAGTGTCTAAGGAAACTCCTGAATACGCCCCTGATACAGAGTATCTAAGGAAACTCCTGAATTTACCCCTGATACAGAGTGTCTAAGGAAACTCCTGAATACACCCTTGATACAGAGTGTCTAAGGAAACTCCTGAATACGCCCCTGATACTGAGTGTCTAAGGAAACTCCTGAATACACACCTGATTCAGAGTGTCTAAGGAAACTCCAATACGCCCCTGATTCAGAGTGTCTAAGGAAACTCCTGAATACGCCCCTGATACAGAGTGTCTAAGGAAAATCCTGAATACGCCCCTAATACAGAGTGTCTAAGGAAACGATCTGAAAGAAATTACAGCAAGGTGAATTAGATCTTAAAAAATTTGAACATATTGAAAATGTTTATATTGGTTATAATCATCCTCAAATCTATATATATATATATTCTTTTTGCATCAGAAAGATTTTTTCGTGTTAAAATATTTTTGAAAGAGATAACTTTTAATATAAATTCATTTTTCCATACGTACATGTAACGTATACCAAACTTTTTAATAAAACATGAAACAATTTTCTAGCAAAATTAACTTTTGATTAGGAAAAAAATCATTCTTTTATTTTGACAAATCTTTATATATACTTTTTTTCTAAATAAGATATTTTATTTAATTTAGACTTTTCAAGTTTCAACTTAGAAACTTTTAACAAAAGAATACAATATCAAAAATTGCAAAAATATTCTTTTCTAATACATTTGTAACTATANATATAGACTTTTCAAGTTTTAACTTAGAAACTTTTAACAAAAGAATACAATATCAAAAATTTCAAAAATATTCTTTTCCAATATATTTTGTAACTCTATACATCAAAGAAAACGAAAGACGCTTGAATATATACAAAAAGTGTTTAAAGGGATATATAAGGGTTTTAAAATACATGATAATAAAGGTCGAAATTTCAGCTTTTTCAAATAAAAAAACTAAGAAATTTTCTTAAGCTTACGTAAAAATAAGGGTATAGTTAATTAAATGACATATATATGTTTAAACATTTTTAATAACCTTTTTATTTTGGTCTAAAATTACTTTTAAGTTTTTTTATTTTTGCACGTTTAAAAAATGATTTTTCTCAGTTCAGATATAAGAAATAATTTGAAGGTGTGAAATACAGTATTTGCCTTTTAAGACTTCAGACAAATTGTAATTCTCAAAAATATTTAAAAAAAAACTAGAATAATGTTCTGATTCAATGAAAAAAAAAATTACGCTATAGTTTTGATTTTACCCAAAAGTATGAGAACATCCGGTTACATATGGTTACATATTAGGAATATATCCGGTTCAGATTAGAAATTTATGTTTTTTTTTAATAGCGCTTCAATCTTCAGTTGAATCATTTAAGATTTCAAACTACATGGCATTTTTTGATAGTTGAACGCGTAATAGGTGGTACAATGCAATTAAAGTTGTTTGTAGCTTTAAAACAGGTATTTTACTTTGATCTTATAGTGTAGAGCAGTTTTATTCTTTTAATGGTATATTGGACATGGACATGGACATGCGAATGCGATGCTGCAATATATATACATGTTGCACTACACAGTACTTTTAAAATGTTTATACATATAAAAATACCAATATTTTCTAATTTCTTCAAATGACTTGAAATTGCTTTTTTTTTGTTATTGTAATTAATGTTTATGCTAAATCCTTTTTTAAATATTGAAGATCAAAATTGATCAAAGTGATTTTATTTTTGTGTTATATTGGACAATGGACATGCAATGATGCGATATATTCATGTTGCACTACATACACAATAACCTCGTTGGGACATACATAGCAATCTCAGCCAAGACAGCTTTGCGTTTGTTTAAAATCCGCCTAGTCAAGTATGTTTATGTAGCTTGTATAATGATTTACATATATATTCCTTAAATCGCGAGAACCAAATTGTTAAAGGGACTGTAAGCGTAATTTCAAGTGATCCCTAATGTAATGTAAGAGGAATATCCGATTTACAACCCTTTAAACCTTTGACTGCTAATTGACGAAAAAACAGTATGAACTTGACACAGCTGACGTAATACATTGATATTTCTCAAAAATCCATTACAAATGGAGGGTCATTTTAAATTTAATCTAAAATCCCTTTAATGCGTTAGGGTTCTTCAATTTGAATTCAATCACGTTTTGGTAAATAATTCATCAATCTTTAAACTTACGGATTTAACTAAAAAACTTATTCATTCAGAACACCTTCATAGACATAAAGTTATAAAAAAGAAAAAACCAAAATTCCATAACAGCTGCAGAAATGTACTGATCCCTAAATCTATGCAATCTAAGCTGCAACTTAAAAATGAGATATCCCTAATCACGATCGGTTAATCTGATTATCCAACGTACACACTTTTGATTTTCTTGTTATGATCCTCTTTTGGGATCTTTCTACTGTATAAAAGTTACGTTTTGATAACAATTACAGATACAATGCTATATCGATTGGGCTATAATATCCGATTGAATTAATTATTAAAGTCAGCTGTTCAAAAGCCAGCTTTTAACGCATTTAAACATATAAAAATATAATCATGTTAAGATGAAATTATTATAAAACATATTTTAGGACTATTGTCATTTTGAATGTTAGTCTTGATAAACATTAATCCAGAACTTACATTCGTTCAATCGATGTTTAGCTCTGAGCTGAAAACTTTAGAATGGTGGATATCAAGATTAATGCTTAAAGTCCTGGTTTTACTAAACCCAAGATTATTTTCAAACGCATTCGATATCCAAGAAAGAAGTTAAAAATTTAACCAATCAGCATGTCATGTTAAGATGTACTCCTTAACTTTTGAAAAACCGGGTTTTAATTCTGGTGTTGATGGTGTCATATCAATTGAACTGAACATCGATTGAACGAACTTAAGTTTTGGATAAATGTTTATTAAGATAAAAATGACAATAGTCCTAAAATATGTTTTTTGATAATTTCATATCAACATGATTAAATATTTTTTTGTTTAAATGCTCTAAAAGCCGACTTGTGAACAGCTGCATTTTATTCAGTCGGATATTAGTCTAATCGATATAGCATTGTATCTGAAATTGTTATCAATTGAAATTGTTATTGTTTATACATTAGAAATATCCAAAAAGAGGATCATAAGAAGAAAATCAAAACTGTGTACGTTAGATACTCAGATTAATCGATCGTGATTAAGGATATTTCATTCTAAAGTTTTCGGCTCTGAGGGCATAACTCTTTGATATTTCAGACGTTGACTGTTTGATCTAACAGAATTCATAATTATAAACATCAAACGTCTATGTCTACGATATTTGATTTAAAAATATGTTTTTGGGGAAAAATAATTTTGTATTTTTTCCTTAAAGTTTTGTATAGCACTTAGTTTCAAGTGTATTAGGCAAATATTATTAATATAGAGTAGTTTTTAAATCTATGTTCCAGGGATTGTAGATAATAATCTTTTCGTCCATTATCCTGGAATCCTTGATCAATTATCTGTCTAATCACAACAATAACATGTTTACTGTATTTGTCGTGCCGTGACGTCATTGAACTCTCTCAAAAATAACAAGTTAATACCTTATCTACGCGAAAACCACCCACTACCCACCAAACAGAACGGAGGCCGAATTTAAAGAATTTGAGCCGCAGCTCAAATATGGTTGGTTTCACTTTAAATTGTATTCAATTTCTCAAGATTCAAGCCGGCGCTCAATTGAAACCGGTTTTTGGGGGATTTGAGACGCGGCTCAAATTCATTAAATTCGGACTCGGGAAAAACTTAATTCGTCACTCAATATAACCTGAGTATAAATTACTAAATTTGGAGATATCTCTGTAAAAATATTTGTACGAATTATATTTTTATTATTTTCTCAAACTGTGCCCAACGAAACATAAAAAATCTTCACAATTTGAAATTTTTGGATCCGTATATTTTTGTTTGAAAACTAATGTTGTAGACATAGACGTTTAATATTTCAAAATATAAATTCTGTTTGATCAAGTTATCACATTTGAAATATCAAAGCTTTATGTCCTCAGGTTGCATAGATTTAGGGATAAGTAATTGGTTGCCAAATCAGCCGTAATTTAGGAAGAAACATTTTCTCCATTTTCTTCAACTTAAACTTCAACGCAACTTTACTGATTTGTTAATTCATCTAAAGTTCTATTCTGTAAATATTTATTCGAACAAACTATTCATTAATATATTGAAAAAGATAAAAATAAACACCTAGGCAAGCAATATAAGATTTAATTACAAAAAGAACAAATTTTGATCTTGTATTTAGAATTTTGAATTATGTTTTTTTTATATGATTAAGTTTAAAATGAATAATGCAAGACACCAGTAAACTTCAAAATCCAGTGCTTTCAGTGAACCCGATGATCCTAAAATAAAAAAAATTAAAAAATAGCGTTTTAATGTTATTTATTTGTTCTCAGCTTATTATTTTTTATTCTATAAATGAATTTTTTATTGCTTAACCCTATAGAGGCTGGGGGTCTAACTCTATGTATGGCTGCGGGAGGGGGTGGGGGTGCGTAGAGAAAAAGGTATAGGGTGGCAAGGCATGTTCATAGCCCAGTGTTTTTCAAGGCCATCTTATTGAAAATAAATTATACCGCTAACTTTAAAAGTTTCTACATCCATTTTCCAGGGCTTTTCTAATTAGTCACAAACTAGTTGTGGGCTATTTTATATTTTTTTTACATCGGACCGGATTTTTACTGCCTTGTAGCCTAATCTATGTTTTAAAAAATCCAAGTGTCAAAAAAGTAGTCTACAAAAGAGTAAATGTAATATCCTTGTTTTCTTTTTGAAAATTGACATTCTTCACTCGTGGTTTTTTAAAAGAAATTAAAATTTGCATGTACACTAACATATTTAAAACGCTTCACTTTTTTTGCTTAGCAGTTGTGAAAAAAATTGGCAAACATGTTATTGTAATGCAAGGCCAGGGCTAGATGGAAGACAGTTAAACTGGTGGTCAATGTTAAAAAAATTAGTGAATAACTGTTTTAATAATTATGCTTTGTTTATTTCAAAAGTCCCTTGAAAAAAGGATGTAATAACATGTGAAACGAGTAAATATTGTCAAAACCAAAAAGTAAAAATAACCAACCGTTCAAAATTAATTTTAAAGGTACAAACGAAACGTTTGTTTCGTTAACGGTATTTTCAGTTCTTTCAAGTTACCATTAGTTAATAATCTCAACTTTATTAATGACGTTAACGGAAGATATTCTGCCGCTAACGTTTTTTTGCAAATAACGGCATTAACTGTTTATAAAATTTGGCAAAGAGCAAAAAAATTTTGTTAAATGTTTATCGTTAACGGTGCGTTAACGGTTGTTTGTAGTATTAACGGTGTTAGTGGTTTAACAAATTGGATTTACCCATCGAGATATTAGTAATAGAGGGGGCATCTGGAATTTTAGACTTCTTGTTGTACAGCCACTGTACACAATGACCCGATCAGAAATTCTACCTGGGGGGATCATAATTCGTAGATCAGTTTTGAAAGTTATTGTTTGTAAGTGAAGACTACAATATTCAAGCAAAGAAAACAAGTCCATATGATTTTTGTATAAAAATGAGACATGACAAATAGAGAAAAAAATAAAATCCTTCTCCTTAACCCTATCTCTGCTGGGGTACTTGAGAACCAGAATATGCTTGGAAAAAAGTTTCCGGCAAAAAAGTCCTAAAATTTCACACTGTAAAAGTCCTGTGGAAAAAAGTCCTTTTATTAAAAAGTCTCCGGAAATAAAGTCCTACCAATTCGAGACTTTATTTTCTAGGACTTTTTTTCTGGCTCCAGTATGATTTTATACAAAAAAGTCCTCTAACAAGTGAAAATGCATGATTCACAATTCTAGGTTTTTCTTTTCCTCGGATTTATTTTCTTCAGGACTTTTTTTCTCGGTATCTTATTTTCTGAGACTTTATTGGCAGCCCCCCATACTATTTTATGAAAAAAAGTCCCAGGAATCTAAAACACCGGACTTTTATTTCCACTGACAATTTTTCCAAGGACTTGATAAAATTCGGACTTTTTTTTCCAAAGTTTTTATTTCCAGCTGTTTTTTTTTCAGAAACTTTTTTTCCCGGGACTTTCCTACATAGATTCAATTTGACCCCCCCCCCCTCTAAATCCCATTTTTGATGTATAAATATGAAAAATGATACATCGTTGTTTACACAAATTTTGACACTACAATATCTCATTGTTGAAAAATATTAAAATTAACTGTCCACTCAATACCGTACAAATAGATGTACTTAGGATTAAACCCACTGTACTCTATGATACCAACTCAGTCATAAGGAACCATTTTTCGACAAATTTCACTGTATCGTATACACCTAGCCAGGCAAAATTAGGAGAGTTATGCCCGCCCCCTGGATTTACCTCACAAGCCATCACCAAATTGCAAAAGAAAATGTTTAAAAGTTCCATAATAAAAAAATGGGTGGGGGGTGAGGAAGACGACATTTAAAAACATCCAAATGCATTATTTCGCAAGTTTCATGCAATTTTAGCCAAAAACATTACAGTCCGTTCCTTATTTATTTTTCTTCAAAAACTGCTAATCCGTTTTGTTAACGATCAAAAATTTAAATTTTGCCATTCTTTAATTTTTGAAAACCTTCGTTTCGTTAAGAAAACTTTGCCCAGTCCTAGTGAAAACAAACAAAATCTGAATATTTTATCGGACGGCAACCTTCCCTGACCTGCTTGAAATACTATAATTGTCTTTTTTCAACTCAGGCACTGAAAACTACGGTAGTGCAATTTCACTAGTCCAGAGCTGGGCACATTCCATCTTTTAAAGCTATTAGTTAACAGTAAAAAATAAAAAATAAAAAAATTTTGCTGGCAAGTTTCGTTTTCAACCGTTGATTTTTTTTTTTAACGGCTAATCTTTTTCTTCGTAAAAATTAGTTGTTGTTTGTTAACGGAACTTTGCCCAACCCTAATCGTTTGTATACAATTACGAAAAACAAAAGCCTTGAATGATTTTTCAGTTTATTACACCACCAGCCGTTTGTTTCTAAACCATGGATGAAAAACCTAAAAAACTCCAATCGTAATAGGGTTTAGCAGTTTGAACTTTCAGAGTTGATATTTAAAGGAATAATTGAACATTAAGTCTTTTCTGCGGTTTGTATTTCCTGGAGTTTGTCTTGCATCAACACGCGGTATTTTGTTATGAAGTGCGCACCCGTGCAGGCAGGCCGTGTTGAAGTTGAGATTTGTTTTTCAGATGTTTGTCCTTCCAACAAACAAAAGAGATGAAATCATAAATATAAAAATGGCTACCTGTTGGTGCTGATTCAAGTGCTTCAGCAGATGCAGGAGCAGCTCCTTCTGCTGCTGGTGGTTCAGAACTTATTGTGCTTTGAGTTGCAGTTGTATTGTCTGCTGAAGCAGAGTCCACAACAGGTTCCGTCATATTGGCAGCAGAGCTGTTTACTGCAGCATCAGCTGTAGTAATATTATTAGTTAAAGCTGGACTGGGACCGCAATTCCAAATGAAACTTCATTAAAAGAGTTTTAAATCGATTATTAACGATACTTTGTACACATACTGTAAGATTAAAAGGCATGATCCTTGTTTTTTATTATGAAAATAGATAATTTTCAAATGTGGTTTCCTTACATTAGATTCTGGTTTAAAAGTACTTTAAAACCATACCTGTAACTCTTTAAATTATAGGTAAGTTAGAATTATGTCAAAGGTTCCTTTAGGGTTCAAGCCTTAAAATTCTTTGCAATGTGATTACCTGAACCTTCTGGTGCCGGTATTAGAGGATCTGTCATATTAGGACTAGTGCTGTTATTGGTTAAAACCTCTGTTACGTTGGTATTTGTACTGTTGTCAGCATTAGCTTCAGCAACTGCTGTAAGGTTAGTACTTGAATTGAACTGATCTGAAATAAGACTTGTAACTGCTGTGACATTAGCAGTTGTTGTGTTATCCGCAGGTGAACTTGGCACAGCTGTTACATTAGAATTTGAGCTGTTATCTGCAGCTGCGGGCAAAGCTGTTACGTTGACAGCAGAGATGTTTAAAGCAGATGCACCAATTGTTATGTTGGCACCAGTTACATTTGTAGCAGATACGTTAGCAGCTGCTTCTGGTAAGATTGGAACAGCTGGTGCAACCGGGGCTGCTGGTACTGCAGCTGCTGGTGCTGCTGGGACTGCTGGGACTGCAGCTGGTGCTGCTACTGCCGGAGCAACTGCTGCTGGTGCTGGTAATGATGCTCCTGGCACTGATGCTGCTGGTGCTGCTGGTACTGCTGCGACTGATGGAACTACAGGTGCTTGACCTTTAGCTACTCAAACAAATATAATTTCTGATTTAGCCAAGTTTATAGTAAAACAAACAAATACTGGCTGTTAATAAACTGTTAGATCAAAGAGCTAGCTGTCACCAACTTTTCAGGTTTATTCTTGGTTAATTACTGAACTATCCGTTAATGTTCATTAAAGGTTCTGGTTTAATAATGTTGTTAACGAAGATATTTTAGACATTGTTAACAGAGCCAGCCGTGACAATTATTCTTTGTAAAAATTGATGGGGTAATTAGATAACAACATTTATAAACCTTTTTTATATGCTCTTTACGATTTTAAAATTAACGGGGCTTGCTGTTCGTTAACGGAATATTCGTTAACTTTCACAATTTAGCGAAGCTTAGCAAATCGCTGCTCAGATAAAAAATGGGCATATTCGTTTTAATTTCATTTCCTTTGTTAATTGTTTGTGAACGATCCATTTTAATAGTTTTTTTTTCAATCGTTAAATAAATGTATTTAGTAGTTGTCCTAAAAATTATCGTTCATTTTCCATGTATTTATTTTGTTTTTTAACTGAGTGATCGTTCAGTATAAAACAATCGTTTTTTTTTTTTCAAAATATTGTTCCTAAAAATTGTTCGTTTAGTAACATAAAACCGAAATGTTTTTTAAACGTTTTGGAATATTTGATTGTTCAGTAAAAAACAAATGTTTTTTCTAGTTCGTTTGAACGATTTTAAATCATTCGTTTTTTTCATTTGTTTAAAAAACTAAAATTTTTCAATTCCAGAATGATCTAAGTCGTCAGTTAATCCATCGTTCGTTTTTTTATGAACGACACCAATGTTCAAAAAAATTTGGTTCGTTCTCTAAAATACTGTTCGTTCAAAATAAAACGATCTTCTATATGTCTCAAAAAGAAAAACCCTCAAAAGTGATTTTTGCCGCATTTTCAGATTTTTAAAAAAAAACTCATTCCTATCACTTTGATAAGGCTTGAAGCCAGGATTGTTACAATATTATTTTCTTGAGTTCTAAGGCATACTGCTACTGCATAAATTCTTATACTAGTTATCGATAGTTTACTTAATAAAATAATCACATTGGTTTTAATCTATTTAAATTTTACTTTGTGCTTCTAAAGCATTGTTATATTGCCAATAAATAGCTGCTAATAATGAACTTATAGAGAATTCAAAGTTTAATACATAAAATATTTAACAGTACATATTAAACACTAGTTTAAGTCTTAAACTTCTCAAGTTACAAACGAGATAGTTGGTAAATCTTAATCTAGCTGAATTTTCATGATACATAATAAAAAGCACAATATGACAATCTTTTAGAACTAATTTTTATATTAAACTACATGAAACTCCAAAAATCAATGGATTAAACTAGAAACGGGAAATCGTTAGACATGATTTAAAAGAAAACATTTCACCCAAAAATTGAATTATATTAAACATCGCCTACTACGCCCCCCCCCCCCCAACCAGGGTCAAAATTAAATAGATTTCATATTTTTTCCTAATGTTGTACACAGTACAAATGCAAGACCGACGGCGAACATGGTGTATTAGGAATTAGGATTTCTCCGAAATCGCTTCTATATATATCTGAAAAAAAAAGGTTTCTAAGAAATCTCCAATTTTTAAAGGGACTATAAGCGTAATTTCAAGTGCCCCTGGCCATGAGAAGATTGCAATGCACATAAATCTTTGTCTAATCAAGTATGATTTTGTAAAAATGTTTATTATTTTTAAAACTGATTTTGTTCAATTTTGGGTTCCCTAAAAAAGTGACTTGTGCATTTCCACTGCAAAAAACAAATGGGAATTATTACAAATAATCACTCTTAATCCTAGAAAAACTACCATATCTTTCACATTACTGATTATATAAAGGCTTCAAGGTGTGTCACTTGAAATTACGCGTACAGTCCCTTTAAGTAAAAATTTTTTTTTGCTGTTCTCAATTGATTTGTTAGATTATTAATTATTTTTTCATACTTGAAGTATCAAATGCCAATACTCCATGGTTGCGCAGATGTAATGATAAGGAAATTATACTTTGAGGCGAGTAATCATTTCCTTTTTGTAAAATCTGAAGTGAAATTCAATGTTCAAACTATCAATTAAGAATTTAAGAACAGGGCTTTTATGGATCTAAAAAATTGCATCCTTCTCAAATTTAATATTTCTAAAATCTGTCAACTTTCATCCAAACAATTTGTTTTTACCAAAAACAATTTTATACTTCGACACCAATCCAATTTTTTTCATGGAAATTCAGTCAAATTTTTTAATCCCTATATCTTTGAAAAAAAAACTTCAACCGTGAATATAATTTCAAACGTTTAACTAATGAATTAAGGTTAGTGTTTTTCGGAACTTAATAAATTATTGAGAATTGAGTCTTTGGCATTACAGAGATACTCTGTATTTTGGTCACTAAGTGATATCTAGACATATATATAAAAGTTGGTCATCAAATTTTTAGACACACTCGACTTCAAAGCATCACACCAGATTTTGGTTTGGTTTTACTTTACCAAGTCACTTATACTTTTGTGTAGTCTTATGCATATACATTAAAACTTATTTAAAAACTGCAACATGTTTGTTTCCAGAATAAGTTTCAAAGGAGTAATTTGAAAAATTCTGTTCAATTTTGTGAGAACATCTTGGATCGCAGTGGGGTGTGTGTCCCTCCAAAACAATCTAATTTAATTAATATATGTTAGATGGTAGTTAGAACTTTGTTCATTTATATCATCATCAAAGTGTTTTAGTGCTTTGAAATTGAGCAAATTATGTAAATTTAATTTGTGCAACTATTTATAAACTTTAAACCAGAATATCTCTATAGCCAAAATAAAAGTAAAACCTTTCAAATGTTCTAATACTGGTAAAAATGATAATCTAGTTTTCAGACAGGTCTTTAAAAAATTATGTAAGAAAATCACTAAATTAAGAACACGCACAAAATATAATAAAATAATTATTTATTCAACATTTTCGCTGATTTTATTAGATTATTACATTAAGAAGCACCTTAGGATTTAAACTGTCTTATTCACAGGGTGTCTCACGAAACATGCATGATAATTAGTGAAAAGTTTAAAATGTCTTCTTCCATAATTTGATAAGTTGTTGGATACCAAAGAGAAAAATAAGAATATTGTCTGTCAGTTATATAATCCTATCACAGTAAGTTGATTTCAAAGTAGAATGAATATATTTGAGTAAAAAGGTTCTAGACGAAATAAACTGCAAACAGTCTTCAATATCTAATACAATGTATTAAAGGCGACATTCAAAACTATTCATTAACTGTCATGTTTCGGGGCACAACCTGTTTGTACAATAATTGGTACTGATATCACTTAAAATTTTCTTGTGAAAATTTAAATATTTTTAGCTTGAATCTATGCTGTTAACCTACTTACTGCCTTGAAGTCCTTCTTCTCCTCTTTCACTCAATTTACGACTGATCAATTAAAATTCTTTCAAATTACAAAGAGCTCTGACAAAAATACTTCTTTTTCTTCTTTTAGTACAAAACTCGAAATGTGTAAAATATAGAATGACAAGAAAATTGATTTTTTCTTACTTCAAGATTGCGTGGAGAAGTATTCACATAAAAGAAAGCAAAACTATTAAAGATTAAATTACATCAATTAAACGTTCACAATATGAATTACATACACACTGCAGAGCCTTATTTCATTATGATTATTAAAATGCAAAGAAATGCAAATTTAGAAAAATTTTACTTTTAAATGTTTTCAACAAAAATTAATCTTTGTGTATGCAAACACTTTTTTTAAAAAAATCGATGTCAGCTTTAACTTTTTTTAAACAACAAAAATATGAATATATGTTAATAAATGTTTACAAATCTACGCTGTTTAAAAATATATCTGTACGTTACCAATTTCACCGTTAAAAATTGACTTACACTGAATTTTTCTTATTGCTAGATATAATGCTGTTTATCACTGATTGGTCAAACAAGTATTTGCTTTTTATACAAGGACAACTCATGTCACATAATTTGAAAGTCATAACGTCAAAAAGACCATTAAAAAAAATATAAAGGAACATGAGTTCTTTCCATAAACTCAAAATTTATAATCCCTATATTTTTGCAGCCTGATGATATTTCAAACTTATAATATTTGATCTAGTGGAATTCATAGTTTGAAATATCAAAGGTCTACAATGTTGGGTTGTGCAGTAACATAGAGATTTAAAATTAGAGATTGTAGCTAAAACTAATTTACAATGATGACACTTCTGCTTTTACATATAAAAAGCTGTTATATTATTTTATCCATGTTAGCCATCCATGTGCGCCTTTATATTCAATCAAAATTGGCAAATAGATAGATTTCCTTAAAACGGTTTACTCCTAAGAGAAACTGATCACTTACCACAAAATCCAATTTTCTATTTTCAATATCTCTGCAACCCTACACTATACACGTTTGTTATTAATTCTGCTAGATCAAAAATTCAATGTAAGGTTTACACCATCATATTGCGAAGAGTGTACAATTTTAATTAAGAGTAATCAATTTCTATGTCAAAATGCTTAATTGTGTATAAGGTTACGACAGTCAAAAACACTTTAATCTATATAAACATTCATGGAGTATGAATTATATGCCTCAAATGCTAAAACATCTTGAACAGTCAAAATTTTCAAAGTCGGTAATGGCGAAGACGACTTTCCTTGTTGCTAGTTAACAATCAGAGAACATTGACAGAAATTTTGTATTTATAATTACTGTTTTGTTTGGATTAAAGAAAACATTGAACAATGCGGTTTTTCGTAATTTTTTTTGTATCAAATATTACACAACCAAAAGACAACTGCGATATTAGAAATATATTTATCATCTTAAAACTATTTATATAAATTTGGCTTGGGTGTCTGTTTGTTTGTCTGTTTGTTTGTATCCACTAAACGTCAAAACGGCTGGACCGATTGGGCCCAAATTTTTTGTGGGATATCACATGACTACAGGGAAGGTTTATGAATGATCGAAATTTTAAATATTTGTCTCCATCAAAATTCGATCTTCATTAAATTTTTTAAAATTTTGAAAATCCACGAAATTTTTTGTGAAAATCCGCGAATTATTTTTGTTTTGTTTTACGATGTACACAAAGAGAACATGTTCACAATTAATTTAGAAGATGGGCGCGAAGCGCCNAGAGAGTATAAAGAATACAAACTAACCAGAGAGTATAAAGAATACAAACTAACCAGAGAGTATAAAGAATACAAACTAACCAGAGAGTATAAAGAATACAAACTAACCAGAGAGTATAAAGAATACAAACTAACCAGAGAGTATAAAGAATACAAACTAACCAGAGAGTATAAAGAATACAAACTAACCAGAGAGTATAAAGAATACAAACTAACCAGAGAGTATAAAGAATACAAACTAACCAGAGAGTATAAAGAATACAAACTAACCAGAGAGTATAAAGAATACAAACTAACCAGAGAGTATAAAGAATACAAACTAACCAGAGAGTATAAAGAATACAAACTAACCAGAGAGTATAAAGAATACAAACTAACCATGAGAGTATAAAGAATGCAAACTAACCAGAGACTCCATGAGAGTATAAAGAATACAAACTTACCAGAGAGTATAAAGAATACAAACTAACCAGAGAGTATAAAGAATACAAACTAACCAGAGAGTATAAAGAATACAAACTAACCATGAGAGTATAAAGAATACAAACTAACCAGAGAGTATAAAGGATACAAACTAACCACAGAGTATAAAGAATACAAACTAACCATGAGCGTATAAAGGATACAAACTAACCAGAGAGTATAAAGGATACAAACTTACCAGAGTGTATAAAGAATAAAAACTAACCAGAGAGTATACAGAATACAAACTAACCATGAGAGTATAAAGGATACAAATTAACCAGAGAGTATAAAGAATACAAATTAACCAGAGAGTATAAAGATTACAAACTAACATTGAGAGTATAAAGAATACAAACTAACCAGAGAGTATAAAGGATACAAGCTAGCCAGAGAGTATAAAAGATATACAAACTAACCAGAGAGTATAAAAGATATGCAAACTAACTCCTTTGGGCTTTTGCCTCAGGGTTATTGAGAAAGAAATACCCCTAAATCTTGAAAAGACGACATCTAGTGTTCTATCTGTTATTGTTAATTACTCTATGATCTACTGTGTTAACTAGGTTCAGTGAGTGGATGACATGTCAGGTTTACAGATTAAAGGGTCCATATAATTCCTTTTTCAATCCCATTTGGGATTGACAAATTTGAAAGAAATGGGGGCAAATTTTTTTTAATGATAGTTTAAAAAAAATTTGGGGGCATTTTTATTTAATTGGGGACATTTTTTTTAAATTGGGGGCAAATATGTTAGTGGAATTTTAAAATGTTTTTTAATTGGGATAGTGGAATTTGAAAATGTTTTTTTTACAATTGGGGGCATTTTTTTAAAAGTTGGGGGCAAAAATTATTTTGGGATCGAGAAAATCAGCTATTTAGTGAATTATATGGACCCCTGATTAAAGGAGTTTTTGCCAAAACTATTGTGTTGCGCTATTTTTCAATCCTCGACATTTTTATAGGTTTGTACCTTTTAATTATAACCACATTTGCATAACTAGTTGTTCAGAATAAGAAGAAGGTTTGTATCTTTTACTAACATTTTTTTATCTACTTAGTTTTCAAGACCAAATGTATCTTTACCTCTATTACTGCATGCTTTTAGATTTTAAAACAAATCTCAACCTTACTCTCGATGGTGTATCTTTTGACCTACTCAAATATACTCCACTTCTTACCTACGCCAAGTGGCCGCAGCGCCCGGTCCCCTAGCCTATACTAGCCACGGAATTTGGCCCTTTGGCCTGTCCTAGCCGCGGCGCTCGGCCCAGAAATTGTCCTAACCTAACCTAACCCTCAAATTATACAAAAATAAACAGCTGGCGTAAGTCCGATATTGCAGTAGGTCGGAAAGTTAGTCGTTCAGAAGTTCAGTAGGGGTGCTGATGTTGCGAATAGACGATGTAACAATATCCTATATTCTCTCTAACTACAGGGTGTCCCAAAAAACATGGGAATTCAGTGACGAATTAAATATCGTCTTTGTTATGAATTAGCATTGTACTACCTAATTTCAAAAGCCATAATATTATTATGTCTGCTAGAGTTTATTTTATGAAAATGGTAAAAGACTGTAAAGATGTGTCTATAATGTCTCCGCAAGATGAACAGTGAAGACGGACAAGTTTACTCTGTTTGTATACTGTAATTTTCTTGTTTTACTAAGTACACCCTTATGCAGTAAAAACATAATCAAAGAAAATGTGAACATAGTAGACGAAACTCTTACAGATTACAGCTTTCTCAGTAGGTATCACTATACTAAATCATAGAATTATTTAAAAAGACGATATCGAATTCGTCACTGAATTCCCATGTTTATTGGGACACTCAGTAGAATTACATAATTTTCTTCTCCTTCTTCCTGCATGGGGTACTTTAAATCCTGGCTGCTGTTTGTGGGGGGGGGGGGAGGGGATGGGAGAATCACCCCAAACTAGAACAATAAAATTTGATTGGTATTTGGCATTGAGGGAACCTGCAGTCTGGACTGACCTGGGCGGCCCTTTTCTTCCGGTCTTTTAAATACTTTTTTTCTTCATTTTTGAATAGGGGATAAATTTAGGCAAATTTGAGAATCGATTTTTTTAAATCATTGAATATCGACGACGAAAAATGTATCAACAATTCTAATTAGATGTTTAGGAATATATTTCTCAATGAAAGGAATTGAATCTTTGTAACAAAATCCAATATATAAACCCCAATATCTTTTGAACCCGATGTTGTAAACCTTTCATATTTCAAACTCTGATTATTTGATTTAACAAAATTCATAGTGATTAGAAAATCAGAGTTTGTGGCAAAGACTCAGTTCCTTTGTCAATAAATCAATGTTAGAATCAATTATTTTTTTTACATCATTATTCTAAACTTCTTATTCTTTGCAAGGTTGTCCGTAGATTTCTACAATTCTTCAAATGTCGCCTTTTTGATAAAAATTCCATTAAATCTACAGAAAATGTTTGTGAATAATGAGAGATTACAGAAACTAATAAATAAATAAAATTACATATTTTCGATGATAAGAGATAATTTTTGTTTTCTCAATCTGTTCCTTAACAACTAGTTTACTCTAGAATTGTTGTTACATTTTTTGTCGTCGTTATTTAACAATTTAAAAAAAATTGATTCTCAAACCGTAACCACCTAGATGGATGATTTTGAACGTCGACTTTGCGCTCAAACTTAGTAATTATACATCATTAAAACGTTTTATATGTCTCAAATAAATCCTAAAAAATGTCAACTACCATACATTGCCGGTCACTCCCTTTAAACCCAAAAAATCTTAATCGGAAAGAACGGACTAACGAAATGCCGTGGTCTGCCCGGGAGAAGAGGAGAAAGGGACCATCCAAGCAAAGATGACAAAGATGTCCGATTCACAATGGCACCCTTGAAACCTTTATCTAATCAATAATGTGGAAGATATTGTCGTTTTACTAGCTGGCCTTGTTTTACAATTAGGCATTTGATCTATTCCCATTTTTTACTCAATAGAATATTTACATTTCCTATTGTTTTCCAATTGTTACGATAACGCCTAAGTGCATATGTGTAAGTATAATGCCTGAGCTCTGAGGAGGCTTTAGTAAGGCCTAAACCAACTATGGACGCTGATGTAGACATACTTTGATTTCTTTTCCTAATAGATGACACTCGTGTAAGCATTTACCCCGGAGTAAGATAGGCTAAAAAAATTTAATTTTTTCAAAAATCAAATTTTTTTCTTTAAAATTTGAATTTATATAAATTCCACGGGCAACTCTAGTATGTTAATATTTCTGTTAAATATGCATATTTTGAGGCCTGAATCACCTTGCTTTGTAAATTAAAACTGGTGGTGCTAAAAGCGTGCAAAGGTTTACCTTTTTATTGCAGAATTTAAAATCTTCTTCCCGTTTTTAATTGATGAAAGATATTTGACTAGGAGGCGACAGTAATGGTTCCGACAAAGATCTACTTTCGTCTGAAATATTAGAAACAATAAAACAGACAAGACATTATTCAAATAAATTTATACATATAGCAAATATTTTATGCATTCATTTCTGTTTTAAAAAGTTGCAATTTTTAATTTGTAAAAAGGAAATTTACTCTCAGCAAAAAATATCATCTTCCTTTCATATGGGAAATTGTTGAATAATTCAAAAGAAATATTACGATATAACTCAAAATTATCCTCTAACATATTAATCTAGTCTCTAATAGGGTGAAAAAATCGTAAACCTTTTATATTTTTAACATTTGATATTTTTAACATTTAACTATAAAGGGTATTTAATACCAGGTTGCAAAGATATAAAAGGATTGTAAAATTGAGAGTTTGAGTCGGGTATTCAGTTTTATTACCTGCTTCTCCATCTGCACATCCTCTCTTGTAAATAGAACAATGCAGATTATGATCAGATAGGATTCAAGGTTTAGATCATAGGCAGTTAATACACTAGACACCTAGATATAGGATTCAAGGTTTAGATCATAGGTAGTCAATACGCTAGACACCTAGATATAGGATTCAAGGTTTAGATCATAGGTAGTTAATATACTAGAAACCAATATATAGGATTCAAGGTTTAGATCATAGACAGTTAATACACTAGACACCTAGATATATAATTCAAGGTTTAGATCATAGGTAGTTAATACACTATAGGACACCTAGATATAGGATTCAAGGTTTATAACATATACTGTACACTAGACACCTAGATATAGGATTCAAGGTTTGGATCATAGGCAATTAATATACTAGACACCTAGATATATGATTCAAGGTTTAGATCATAGCTAGTTAATATACTAGACACCTAGATATAGGATTCAAGGTTTAGATCATAGGTAGTTAATATACTAGACACCTAGATATAGGATTCAAGGTTTAGATCATAGGCAGTTAATACACTAGACACCTAGTCCTCAAACCCCATTGATAAGTGAACAAAATTAATCTTTAAATCGGCAATGCATGTAGTTACATGTCTCAGAGGAAGAGATTAAAACATTTCTCGATAAATTCTGATTTCACGAGCCATTTATAATGCTGTGCTTCATGATACCTTACTGCCAGCTAAAGGGAACTTTTTGATAGAATAGCTCGGTGCACGTGCGCCATTTCTCATCAGAACCATTTTAAAAACTTTGCACATATTTATTTTTAATTTCCAGTTTGCTAAAAATCAACAAAACTGTATAAATATCTTCGTCAATTTTAAAGATACAATTAGAAGGAAAACCAAATTAGGAAATCTCAATAGACTTTCATTTTTTTATGTTCTCTACGTCATTTATGAATTATCGGGAATCAAAGATGATATTCAATTCGTCTCTTAATGCCCATGTTCATTGGGTAACCCTGTACCTGATACACTTCTCGGGCTATCTCTGAGCCTGCCTTCTCTTTTATCCAGGTTTCATCAATTTCAAGGAAATTAAGTTCTTTGTTTATATTAGTCGGAATCCTACCAACAATTATTTTAGGTAGTAAAGAGAGTTATCAATAAAATATTAGACATTAAAGGGACAGTTGACATGATTTTAAGTAACCATTCAAAAAGAAGCATGTTCGATTCTTACCGATATCCTAGTTGTTTTAGTATAAGATTTATTTTAATGGACTGTGGTTTTCTTTAAGAGAAATTTAACGCTTTGTCTACATTGATAAATGACAATAATGTTTAAAATGTGTCGTTGTGAATCGGATATTCCAGTCTTTAAATAAATTGCCACTTAAGATTCCGTCTACAATCCCTTTAATGACGACATAAAAATAGTTTAATTTAATCAAGATTATTATGCAATGAAAGTTATTTCAAAGGTGTCTTTTGCACAGCAGTGTACTGTCTCTGGCCCTGGGCGGTAATTTAAACACAAGAGTGAACACTGTTGCATATATTCGATCGTGTTTACAAATTTCGCCGAGAGACACCTGGTTTAAATATGTACGCAGAGTATACGCAACTGCAATTGACTTTCCTTGCATTATAACCTTGAATTTAATTAAAAAATAGTTTCGTTAGTTGTATACAGTTTCGCGTGAATCTGAATTTTTAAAATTGCATTTAAAAAAAAGTATTTAACATGGAAACAAAGACGGTTACATACTTTAACAAAAAACGGGCAAATAATTTAAAGGCTAGCAAATTTAAAGAAAATGTCACAAAATTCATTCATTTTACCGAAATGTTTTTGTTTGTTTGTTGTAGAAGGAAGCAACAACGAGTATCAGAATACCAGCCACATTCATCCTTTGAAATATATATATTGATGAGTTGATGAGTTGATGAGTTGATGAGTTGATGAGTTGATGAGTTGATGAGTTGATGAGTTGATGAGTTGATGAGTTGATGAGTTGATGAGTTGATGAATAAAACCAACCTAAGAAGTCTGGCCTGTGCTGCCCAATCTAACTTTTTTACTTCCTCAATATGCTTCAGGAAGAGAACAATCATTTTTACAAAGGATTCCTGTATTAAAATTATAATCAATATCAATATCAATTATTATTCTTTCATTTAGAATTATTATTCCTATTATTCTTAAATATCAATCTTAATATCTTGCTTGTCTGGATATGTCTGTTTGTCTGTCCGTCAGTATCCAATAAACGTCAAAACGGCTGAGCCGATCGGGCCCAATTGTGTAGGAACCTCACATGACCCCAAGGCCGGGTTACGGATGCATAAAGTTACAAAAAATTGTGTCCAAAAGTTTTAGATTTTTGTTAAATTTTAAAAAGGCGAAAGAAAATTATTAAATCTGCAAACTTTTTTGGTTATTGTTTTATATTGTACAAAGAGAAGATGCTCACAGATAGAGCCACAATTAAAAGTTGAAATAGAAGATGGCCTAGTTTAAATCTAAAACTTTATCATCATCAATATTTTAAATACACCATGGGCATTTTTACCTGAACTTTGTAAACTATTTCGGCTGAGCCGGATATTTTCTGTTTTTCTGAAAACAAAAAAGTAAAGATCTAAAAACTGAACACTCCACTTCTTTCAAGTAGCGCCCTGATTCTATGATGGACCTTTAATATTTCAAACTTTGGCCATTTGATCTAGGATAATCGATAGGATAGGATTAATCGTATCAAATGTTGCTTCAGGTTGCTAAGATATAATAATAGTTCCTTTATGTATTAGAAAGGAATTGAGTCTTGACCTAAAATTCTGATTTTCTAATCCTTGCATCTTTACAACCCAATGTCGTAGACCTTAGATATTTCAAACTATGAATTCTGTCTGATCAAAAAGTCCAAGTTTGAAATAACAAAGGTTTACACCATCACTTTGTAGAGATATTGGGATTATACAAATTGATTTTGTGGCAAAAACTCAGTTCCTTTAGTTTAAATTTTCAATTATTGCAATTATTGGTATTATTGAATTTAAAAACTTAACTTGACATAATTTTAGATTTTAAATTATAAAATGGTGAAACCTGTAGTATCCTGAGCCCATGAGGTGATGACCCATGTTTTTGCAACATTGAACTGTAAAAGGAGGGTTTTTAAAACTTTAGTTTTAATTTACGAAAAAAATGATATTTAAATGATATTTACACATTCTAAAAGCTGAAGGACTTCATCATGATCCACTTTAGCGAGCCCAACCTGTTTTTGTCTGAACAAGATAGATTAAAAGTTATTTAAAATTATTCATATATTTGATGAGTAGTTGTCAGAAAAACACAATGAGGGTATAAAGTGGATTTAAAACTGAAGCGAAGCACTTAATTAATTTTGAGAATATGATATTTGATCTCGTAGCTCAGTTTATTTTACGTTTAAGTATAATGAAATTAATCTATTTGGTTGCATATTAGAAATTCAAAGCTATTTTGTTTTCCTTTGAAAAGATAATTTAGTAATGATAAAAATTTAATCTTACGTGAATTTAACTTTAATTTGACAATATATATAGCATGTAGACAAAGAGAATAGAATATATATTAGAGGGGAATTGAAACAATCCCTCGGTATGAAATTTGTCAGTCCCTTTCAGCCTGAAAGGGAGTTCAAAGTGTACAAATCATGTAAATGTTCACTAATTATATGCAGTAGAGAACATTAATACAGTATGTTCCCTAGACTATCCAATTTCGAATTTTTTAAAGCTGTTAAATAAACTTTACAAAAAGAATTAGGTGAATAAAAACATCATTTGATTTATAGATATAACGGAAAATCATCGTTTGAAAAGTGAAAGGCATATTTTGGCTTTCTTTTAATATTAATCTTAGATTTTCTATAAAATGAAATGATGTTCCAGGGTCCAAAAGGTTATATACAGAGCGTCCCATATCATATTAGATTATCTGCAATCTTTAACGCCAAAATACGCATATAATACTTGAAAAATCTAGCATTTTCTGCATAANCCTCGACCACTTTGCCAAGGTATGAAAATGGTTTTACTTATCTGACTTTTTTTCATTTCTTTTATTTCTTATTATCCCATAACAATTTTAATATTTTAGCTGTTTGAAAGTAAGGAAAACGTCCTTCTGGAAGTTACTGTTTTCAAAAACCGGCTTCAAACTTATCAATCCGAGGTTAGATCCATGTAATAGTAAATAACCATGACAATGGCATAATTGAATATTTATATGTCTTACTCTATTCAGATCAGATCTATTAAGATTCTAAATAATCTTAGGCATGATAAAATAATTATTGATATTTAGAATTTAGTTAACTATTTATAGGGAAGAGGGCTTGGGATTTTTATCGAGATGCTATTGGGTTCGAAAATATTCGGAAACTTATCCAAATCATAATGACTTATCCAGTGACAAGTTGTCAAGCTGAACGATAGTGGGACACCCTGTAGCACAAATATGTGAAGTACACCTGCAGTATGGAAACAGTACAACAAATTGGCCGTTTTACACTTTTTCTAGTAAATTCCTCTCTAATATACATTCTATTCTCTTTGAATGTAGAGCATAATATATACGAGGACCGAATTTAGTGCATTGAACCTACCGCCTGTTCAAATTCTTAATCACCGATTCTAATCCTGATGAATTTTTAATTTTGAATCGGTAATTTAGATTTGAACCGACAGTTGGTGGCCCAGCGAACTATTTCAAATTCATTAAATCCGATCCCTGAGGCCGAATTTAGCCTGCTGCTTAACAGCAGGTTAAATTTGAGACACGGCTCAAATTTAGTTGGTTTCATTTAAAATTGTATTCAAGCGGCAGATTTGAGACGCGGCTCAAATTAATTAATTGTGGACTCTGGTTTACTTACAAGCTCGACTTTCTTTCTTGTTTCACGTACTGTAAAATTGTTTTGTACGCTGTACACTTAGTTTTCTTAAACCTGCCAGTATGCTTTAAAGCCTCCTGAAAACATGAAATATTATTCTGGGTGCACCGAGGCGATACTAGTATACATGATACTAAAGACGACCTGAAATTATTTAAATATGACGTTTATAAGACTATATTCAGTATTCTGCCACAAATAAAGTACTTTAGTTGTCTTGTAATGATTCTGCAACGAAAGATGTCTTTTAATGATTCTGCAACGAAAGATGTCTTGTAATGATTCTGCAACGAAAGATGTCTTTTAATGATTCTGCAACGAAAGATATCTTGTAATGATTCTGCAACGAACGGAAAGATGTCTTTTAATGATTCTGCAACAAAAGATGTCTTTTAATGATTCTGCAACGAAAGATGTCTTTTAATTATTCTGCAACGAAAGATGTCTTGTAATGATTCTGCAACGAAAGATGTCTTTTAATGATTCTGCAACGCAAGATGTCTTGTAATGATTCTGCACCGAAAGATGTCTTTTAATGATTCTGCAACGAAAGATGTCTTGTAATGATTCTGCACCGAAAGATGTCTTTTAATGATTCTGCACCGAAAGATGTCTTATAATGATTCTGCACCGAAAGATGTCTTTTAATGATTCTGCAACGAAAGATGTCTTGTAATGATTCTGCACCGAAAGATGTCTTGTAATGATTCTGCACCGAAAGAAACAAATTAAGAGTTACAGGGAATCATAAATATTTGGAAACAGATATTGTTGATTTCGAACAGATATTGTTGATTTC